TAATTATCGCCGGCGTAGAGATAAAAACAATCATTATTGTATATGCATTTAAGAAATTGATCATAATAAATTGTCTCATAATTCTAAATTGAATTTGAATGTACAATTATATTAAAAAAAATAACTATCATCTTAATATTATAAGCATTTAATATATTAATCACATTTCTTAGAATATTTCAAATTTTCTAATAAAGATTATTTCTGTGCTTAATTGATATAATTTAATTTATTAATTACTAATAAATTTATTTTATAATTAATATGCTTGAATTTAGAAAACTGAAAGTTTTAGAAAAAAAGTGGGCTTAGACTATGTAATTTTTAGAAGAAAAAAAATTATTAAATGCTATATATTTAATAAATTTGTTTTACAATTATAGGAGTGTTTATGTATTCTAAAATGCATTAAAGTTTTTAAAAAAGATAAACCAAACTTTGTAGTTTTAAGCTGTAAAGATTTGGAGACTCTACCTTTAATAGTATATATAGATAAAGATATAGTATAAATATAGATTTTTTTTTTCTAACTACATCTCAACCCTTTAATTTAACATCTATAATGATATGATTATCCATATAAAAGAGTGGGAATTTTTTTGGGGGCTATGTTGGATTTAATAATATAAAGATTAAGATAAGATAAAATTAGGATTAAGAGACCATTATATTTCAGATAAATTTATTTTATAATTAACAAAAAAATGTTTGAATTCTAAAAGATATAAAAGTTTTTTTAAAATAAAATGTGCCCAAACTTTGTACTTTTGAATAGGAAAAATTTAGAAGAAATTATTCTACTTTTAATAAAATACAAACACATATTGATATAGTTATTGATTTATTATCTAACTACATGTTGACCCTTAAATTTAACATGATTATTCTTATAAAAGTAAGCTATCTTTTGGTGATCTTGGATTAATTGTTGGGAAACTCTGGGAACATAGGAATTTTTGTGAGTTTTTAGATATAGGTTGATTTTGAGAATTTCATGTTGAAGTTGGCATTTTGTTATTCATGAGGTGTGTTGAGGTGAATTTTGATGTTTTGATAAAATTGGTGGTTGCATGTGGATTATAATGTTGGAATTGAATTTGGAATGCCTATATATGTTATTACATGTTACATGCCTATATATGTTATATTTCACGTTGGATGCGCCTTCTTGTTAAGTGTGACTCAAATTAGGGGTTCTCTATTTTGATCACGTTGAACATAAGATTAGTGGTGTCATGGCATAAGGAGAGAGAAATATCTCTAACTTAGTCATACCAAACGTGGGTTAAATAGCATCGAATGTGATGAGAGAGAACCATTTATGACTTGGTGAAGTTAGGCCCTATTAGTTGAGAGGTGCTAGAAGTGACCAAGATAGAGGCTCTTTGTCTAGATAATGTCGGGTGCCAATTCAGTGACATCAAGCATGAGAGCAACAAAGGCTCTTTGTCTCATCCACATCAAGCATAGCTTGAATGACGTCAAGCATAGGCGAGCTCGAGAGCTTTCTACCTTAATGATGTCAGGTGCGGGCAGAATGATACTGAGTGTGGGTTGCCTTATGAAAATGTGTTGTTTTATTGATGAATTTGTGAACATGTGTAGGCTAGTTGAATCTGTTACATGTTGTTTGTTGATATATCTTATTCTTTATATTTAATAAGGTATAATGTATATTGATGATTAAATTGTTGATAGTTGAATCATGCTGGTTCTATATACATTTATCTGAGATAATGTGTATAGATGATTGGTTGTTGAACTATTGAGGCAATGGTGCTAAGAATGCTTGAGGCATTAAGGCATCAAGGTACATTGTGTTGATTGACTTAAGATTAAAGAAGAGGATATTTTTCTAAAGTTGGATATCCCATTGCGAGAATATTAGTGTGGTATTTTATGAGTCTAGTTGTTGAAAACCTTTTTTGAGTAGTTGATTATTGAAATGGATAGTTGAGTCTCCTCTATGACTTTTGTTGATACGTTATGTGAGAAAGGTTGAGACATATTAGTTATAAGTGACAACAGTATATGGGTTAGATCGAACTATAATGATTATAAGTGATCAATTTTGATCTGTATGTGGGAAAAGTTGAGGCATACGTGTATAAAGTGACCAATCGATAAAGTATAAGTTCATGGGTCAGAATTACTTACTAAGTACTAGAAGGGCATAATATTTGAAGGGTAGTCGACAGGCTGATTCCATATATGGCTTAGTTATGCAAGCTAATATTATGGTAGGGTCACACTCAACTTGTCCTACCCTAACAAAAATACTTAATTTCCTAATTTAAGCGAAATCTGAGAAACCATGCTATTATAGATTGGTATCAAAATTGGTTGTTGGTTTAATAGATGTAAAACGATCGTGTTAATTCGGTATAGTCAAATCACTTAAATCTTTCACCTTTGTTGTAAGAGATCTCCATTGACAAATGTGTTACAACGCATGTAGTTGAGGTGTTATGTATATAATGTGTTGATTGTGGTATAGTTCATATGGTATGTTGATTGTTGTTGAATGACATGGTTGTGGTGAAAGTTGTAATAAGTTGTAATGTGGTTAAGTTGTTTAACCTTTTTAAGTTGTATGAATGTCATGTTGAGGTGTTATAATATTATTGCTATGTTATTAAAGTTGTAAGTCATAGGGTGTTGTGCTGTATGGTTTACATGATGGTGTGGTAGTGTAGTTGTTTTTTCTTTTATACTTGATACATAATTATTCTTTTGAATACTAGCTTACCCTTACATATTTTCTTGTGGTTAGATTATAATAATCATATTTATATGAGAGTAAGACAGGAATAGGCCAAAGGTAGATATTTTTTTAGTGGCCATGTTGAAGGATGGCATGTTGCTATTATTATTAGGTTACTTTGATGTAACCAGTTGGCTTAGTTGTCGCTTGATCAACAACTTAGGGTTATTATTTCAGTACTAGATTATTTTACATATTTCATATACTTGTGCAGCTATACAAATTTATACTACCTATACCAATTGAGAAGGATCTGGCTAGAGAGAGATCAAGAGCAATGGTTATACTTTCAGCAGGCAATTTCAATAGTGGCTCTGCAAAAACATGTCAAGGACAACTGGGTTTGGCCTATTAACAAGTCAGGATGCTTCTCAATCAACTATACCTATAAAGCCCTACATGACCTCAAGTACAACGGTCAGGTGGACGAGATATTAACACACATCTGGCAACTGAAAATCCCACCTAAAGTTATGGTCTTGCAATGGCATTTGTTGCATAATGCTCTTCCTTTAGTTGACAACCTTCTGAGGAGAGGCATTGACTTGCCTCCTCTGAACTCAATGTGTGTGATGTGTAATGAGCAGCCTGAGAATTTACTACATCTCTTTTTCTACTGCCCAATTGCTGACCAGTTATGGATGTATTATTTTTGTTGGGTTTCTATTAGCACAGTTCTACCTCAAATAGTGAGGCAACATTATTGTCGGTGCTTTGGTCGACATGCAACAAAGAGACGGGGGACATTGTTAGGAGTGTCGTTGTATGGTGTATTTGGAAAGGGCAGAATAACAAGATTTTCAGAAGAAGAGAAACTGCATTGGAGGAATTAAAAGCCAACTTACACCTTATTGTGTGGTTGTGGCTGAAACTTAATGACCTCATGGACTTTACCTATGATCAATGGCTAGTGTGCCCCGCCCAATGCATGCAAAATGGTTGGAGAAGTCAAGTTTGAGATAAGATGAGTGGCTAGGCGAATCTGCTAGGCTAAGCCTGTTCTCTATTAGGCTTAAGTATAGCCACAATATCCATTGACAGGGGCTGGATTAAATATGTAAACTTTTTTTTGGTTGTTGTCCTGTTTGACTTACACATTAATTATATCTTACTATGTCTCTTCTTGTAATTTTGGGTTTGTGGCACCTATAATGCCACATATTCAATATATTCTTGGATGTTTAAAAAAAATCTATACTAATAAGATGTATTTACTTTTCAATAATTCATTACGACAAGAACTTCATAGTTAAACATGTTTGGCTTGGAGCACTTTAGGGATAGATGACCTTCTAGGAAGTTTTCTAGAAAGTGTGAGTGAGGACAAAACACAAAAATCTTGTGTTAATTTATGGAGTTAATCGTTGATCCTAGAGACGGACGAGCATCTCAAAAAGGGTTACACATAGAGGGTTATTATGCAATAAAGGATGACTTAAAAAGGAATTAATTTTTATTACATATATAAACAAGATGCATCTATTTTTCAATAATTCGTCACAAAAGAACTGTTGAATTTAATAATATTAAGATTAAGATTATGATAAGATAAGATTAAAATTAGGATACAATTATATTTCAAATAATTAATAAAGATTATTTGTACGTTTAGTTGATATAATTAAATTTATTTTGTAACTAATAGAAAATATTTGAATTCTAAAAATTATATAAAAAAATATAAAAAATAAAAAATAAAAAATAAAAAAAAGTGGACTCAAACTAGCTATGTAATTTTGGATGGAAAAAATTAAGAGAAAACTATTCTACCTTTAATAATATATATATATATATATATATTATCTAACTACATGTCAATTCTTAAATTTAACATGTACAAAATATAATGACATGATTATTCCTATATAGATATAGATTTAATAATATTAAGATTAAGATAAGATAAAATAGTTATATTAAATGTTTTGTAAAATTAATAATTAATAATTATTTCAATATGTTATAAAAGTAATGATTAATAATTATATTAAATATTCTATAAAAGTATATTTAAAATTCTCAATAAAACATTTATTTCCTTAAATACATTTTTATTTTCTTAATTATATTTAATATTTTATAAAAAGAAATAATTAAGAATTATATTAAATATTTTATAAAAAGTAAATTTTCAATTTTCAATATTTATTTCCTAAAATACATTTTCATTTCTTAGTTAAATATAAATGCAATACACAACACCAAAAAAAAAAATATAAATGCAATACGCGTCGGTTTATGTATAAATATGTGTGTAACCCCTATCTGCAAATTGAACAAGTACCCAAATTACTGCACTTTGGTTTGTGAACTATAAATCATTCCCAATGGAATCAAGCACTATCATCGCTCCATCAAAAGAAATTAATGCTTTTGACTTCCATTTGATGCATAAGGTGCCTGAACAATTTATGTGGTCATCTAAAGCCTTAGAGAAAGGCAGTTCAGAAAAGCTGAATACACCCCTCATAGACTTGAAGGCCATTAAGGGTGATGAGGTTGCTATGGCTAATGCTGCAAAGCTTGTGAGGGAGGCTTGCATGAAGCATGGCTTCTTTGAAGTCACCAACCATGGTGTAGACTATGATTTCATCATTTCTACTTATCGGCAATGCGACTCCATTTTCAAGCTTCCCTTAAGCAAGAAGCTTAGTGCTATGAAAGATAAGTGGGGTTACTCGGTTGCTCATGCAGAGAAATTTTCTACCAATTTGCCATGGAAAGAGATGTTTACTTACCGATACAATTACATCCCCGCATCTGAATCACATGTTGTTGACTACTTCAAGTCTATGTTAGGAGAAGAATTTGAACGTGTTGGGTAAGATCTATCAAAAATACAATGAATTTATGTCATCATTCCTTATCTCAAATGTTCATTTATTCATTGCCAATTAGCAGTAATAATTAATTGAGCCGAGTGAATTAACGTAATAATTAAAGCGTTTATACGTGTAGATAATTTTTTAACAAAGAATCTCATTTTAGATCTAAACTTTTTATAAAAACTTTTGGAGAGATAATTACAATATTACTAAACAATATTAGTCTCTGGCTCAATGGATTAGAGATACTTGTGGTAATAAAATAAAAAAAATTATTGAAATACAAATCAAGTTTTATATTACGAATTTATATAAATATATAAAAGTTTCTTTTAGTATAAGAGTATGAGACCTTTTAAAGAATGACAAAAAATAAATTTATAATAATTTAAATATGAAATAGACAATGTTATTCTAATGTGAAAATGTATATGAATTCATAAATGTCTAACAAAAATTAGTAGTAATAATCTACGTATTATACACGTTTATATATCAAAGGCATCTAAGTTCGATTTTGATGGATATAAAATTCTACATGCATGCAATATATAGTTTATTGATTTCCTTGATTAACATTTTTTTTGTCAAATTAAAAAAAATGAAATAGTTTGGCGAATCAGAAGTACTGTGAAGCTATGAAGGAGGTATCTGTGAGTATTCTAGAGTTATTAAGCATCAGTTTGGGTGTAGATCCTTTGTATTTACAAAAATATTTCGAAGATTGTGAAGCAATAATGAGGTGCAATCGTTACCCACGTTGCGAAAATCCTAGCATCACCCTTGGCGTTGGCCCTCATTGTGACCCAACTTCATTAACCATTCTTCATCAAGATCAAGTTTCAGGTCTTGAAGTTTATGTTGATGACAAATGGCTTCCTGTTCCTCCTCGACCTGAAACTCCCGATGCTTTAATCATAAACATAGGCGACACTTTGATGGTAATTATTACTCTGGTACAATGATACATATATAATAATTCATACAATAACTTGAAAAATATTAATTTGTTATATGTATTTTTTATCTTCATTAGGCGATGACGAATGGGGTATACAAAAGTTGCGTACACAGAGTTTTGGTTAACAATAGGGTGGATAGAAAGTCCCTTGTTTTCTTCTTAAACCCAAAAGGAGACAAAACACTGACACCACCAAAAGAGTTACTTGAGAATGGAGAGCAAAGGAATTATCCTGATTTCACTTGGGCACAATTCTATGAGTTTACGCAAGAGCATCATAGGACTGATGCGGATACTCTTCCAATGTTCGTGTCATGGCTTCAAAATCAAAAGGCACTACCATCCAACTCCAAACCCCTTTGGAAGTAATTGATTTGGATCCATCGATGCTAGCTTATGAATTGAAGATTGTATTCATCTTTGTTCAATTGCTGGCACCACCAGAAATCAGAATATATAGCCTGTGTTCTTCAATTCCTCATCAGCAAGATATAGTTAATTTTCTTAGTACACCTAGGTTTGGTCAAGTGGGTCGCATAAACTAAGTATATACATTGATGAAGGTCATGCTAGCTAGATCCTGTTTCTACCTGTTCTTATGGGTAACAAAGAAAATTGGATATTTCAGTAATTTCCTTTTATTGTTTCTATTAATAAAACCCACTGTACTCGAATAATATAAATAATGAATTCCGATTTCTGTTATATATGCATGTATTCATACATTTTTTATTATTGACCTCACCACTTATCACTTATTATATACATGTTAAATATAAATTGATTCATAAGATATACATATATGCAGGTAACGAAGATTATATGCAAGTGACAGAAAAAAAAAATGGTAGAAAAAATATTTAATTTTAAAAATAAAAACTCAAATTTATATTGTATAAATGGATAAGGGTGAAAGATAAGCTAAAAGAGTCCATTCATCCTTGAAAGCGAAAATTTTACTTTTGGTATAATTTAGTTCATGAATGTACAAGAAACTCATTTTTTCTACTGTGATTCCGTTAATGGCCGGAAAGACTTAAACAGTGAGGATGTATTAATTTGATAAAATGTTTACTTTTGATATATAAATACATAATCTTAACTATCTTTTTATAGTGTCAATTTTATGTAAAAGAATTATGGGGGTAGTGGGTGCTACTGGTGAGAGTCATTTTTAGTTTTTTTTTTTTTGTTTATTTTGATGATTGTTGGGCAAAATAAACATGATTTATTGATTTTCTTGCTTGTGTGTTATCAATGATCAAAGGGTATATGCTCTTTGCATTCAGTATTTTTTCTCCGTACTAGCATCCAAATTACCTTAAACTTGTAATAACACTTTTTTTCGTATACCATATATTATACACCTCTTTCTCATTCACTTTCTTCTTTGTAGTTTCTCATCTGCGCCTACCCCCTTTATCATTTTTTTTTCTCATTTATGGGTTCGTTCCAAAGTGTAAAGTCTTGATCTAGATTGAGTAATTGATCAGATGGTAACGTTAGGTCCGAAAAGAAATGTCACTGTTTGAATTGCCCAATCTAGATAATAATAGCACCGAGATTAGTCGGGATAATTATGTAAACAAACTATTATTATTATTAATATTAAGTAATAATACACATACATCAGTTATTTGTATAACAATATATTTTTATGTGTCTATTGTTGGAGATTCTACATTAAATATGACTAAAATATATTATATAAATAAAGAATAATTCCTATTTTATAAATCAATTTTATAATTTAAATCTATTTTTCTTAAGATGGTATAAAAAGTTTATTATAATATATTGTTGTTGTGCATATTATTTTTGCTTTTTATCACATCATCCATAGATATTTAGTTGTCAGTTTAAGGAGTCTCCTTCTTTTCTTTTTAAACCCAAAAGGAGACAAAACAGTAACACCACCAAAAGAGTTACTTAAGAAGGAAGGACAAGTTTAGCATGATTTACATTGTAACAGTTAGAAATGACAAATAAATAGATAATGTTTGAATTATTCTATAAAAAAATATTCGAGTTGATCTGATATAAATACAGATACAGATTATACCCAATTAATTTAATTAGATACAAAGATAAAGATAAATATATACTTATATGTCATTTACATATATATCCTCATCTCCATCTTTGTTTTAAATTTTTATAAACTTGTTTTATTTTTTTATAAACATACTTGTAATTTTTATTTTATTTTAAAAAAATTATAAAAAATAATATTGAATTAATTTATGAGGAGATATAGATGAGTATAGATATACCCGATATTCGATAGAGATAAAAGATACGACACAAATCTTATATTCTTAAAATATAGAAACAGAGATAAATATAAAATAAAAGACAAGAACACATATTTTAAGAACTTCACCTCCATCTCCTTTTGTTGTCATCTTTAGTCACAGTTGTATATAATTTTACACAAAAGCAACATGGGGCTGATGCAGATACTCTTTCAATGTACTTCATGGCTTCAAAATAAGAAGCACCACCGTCCAACTTCAAACATCTTTGGAATTAATTGAATTGGATCCATCGATGCTAGCTTCTGAATAGAAGATTTTATTTATCTTTGTTCAATTGCTGGCACCACCATAAATCAGAATAGTTAAAAATAAATTTGTATTATAACAAATTATTTATCATAAAATTAAATATAATCTACCTGGCCAAATATATTTATATATATTACAATTTTAATAATAATATAATTTTTATATGCAAAAGGTATTTATTTATTATAACTTTTATTGTATAAAATAAAAGTTTATATTGTGTATTAGACAAATTAAAATATACTAATAATAAATATAAAATCTATGTGTAAATAAAATCATTATTAGTTTAATTGAAGATAAGCGTGTTTAGACAGACGTGGAAATCTTTATTACATACGTAAGTGCTCATGCGGAATGATTTTCTTACAATTTGATATGGAAAGGGTCATTTACTTTCCTATATATTAAAGTTGTTCAAGAATGAAGACTATGACAAGTTGTGTCTTAGGCATTGTCAAAAGGAGTTGTCTGCACTGGTTGTTGGTTAACACTTAACAGAGGTGGAGAGAAGTCTCTGACTTTCTTTTCGCGCAAACCCAAGACAATGGGAAACGAAACAGTGAAGCTACTGAACAAATAATAGAAAACAGTTTTTGACAATGACAATGAAGTCCAACTAGACTCGTCAAGTAGGATACTTTCTTCACTGATAATAAACTTGAAATTATTAATCCTAAACAACATCTCATATTACATCATGTTGGGGTTAGGTAATATTATATTAATGGCACAAAATTTTAATAACACAAGAGTTTAATTGCATACACTGTTAATATAAAATTTTAGTACGATCAACAATCAGAAAGCGTGTCTTTAAAGATATTACTTAAAGATCAGGGCGTAGAAAAAAGCTTTAACTTTAAATTTTTAATGCATATGTATTATTTATTCATAATGCAATTAAACTTTTGAGATAATTAATTTATAACATGGTATAAATTTTTATTTTTTTTAAATTATACTATACTCATTAGAAGTGAGACTCATAAATGTTTAAAGGAATTTGGATGTACTTCCAGAATTTACATCCAAACAAAAATTATATCAATTGATGACAAAATTACTATATTAATTAAACATTACTGTGTCACTTCTGTTACATGTGTAGAGAGTAATAATTTAGGTCTTGAATTTGATTTTAAACATACACTTAATGAACAAGCATAATTGCATATGTTTATTCTCGGAGTTTATTCTTCCCGGGTACATTTCCGTCACACTTGCACGTCTATCATAGAACATGCATATGTTTGGAGAATATTAACAAAAGTTATAGACACTCCTTAGATGTAGAACCCTTAATAAGAAGAGAGGAGAGATAAGTGATATATGATTGGTGACATAATTTGTCAAAAAGATAGATAGAGAGAAACCATGAATTTGGATCCCTTCGGCCTAGCAACTACTGGTTTACCACAAACCAGATATGTATAATTGTGTCAAAATGCTTTCACCAAGAAGAATCGCGAAAATTCTAAGCTCATTTTATTATAAAAAAAAAAATGAATCTCTAAACGTTACATTATATTCATATACGCAGAATTATGTGTATAAAATTACAATTTATAAAAAAGATGAAACCAACCACAGAAAGCTTGGTCTTATTCGTACCAGTGGCCCACTGAATCAATCTGATCTTGCTGCCGTAGCTGACTCTGAATCGAGTTTGGAGAGAAGGGTAGTGATGAAAACTTCTGATCAGAGGCGACATAGGGAGGTTGAGAAATGAGATTTGTTGATGCATATGCACCATTGAATGTTTGATTATTTTCGTCTTGATTACTATTATGGGGGTGGTGTTGTAGCCTTTGTTCAGAACGTAGTTGCTTTGGAATATTAAGTTTTTCTCCTTCAATCTCTTTATATTTCTGAAGATAAGATTTTAAGGGTTCCACGTAATCCTCAAACCCTAAGGTAGTGATGGCCCATATGACATCTTCACCATTGATGGTTTTTCTCTTTTCTCTTTGGCATTTGTCGGAGGCTTCCCCGGTGACAAAGCTAATGAACTCGGACACACATTCTTGAACTGTTTCCTTTGCGTCCTTGGAGATTTTCCCGTTTGGGGGAATCACTTTTTTCATGATTCTTCCAACGTTGGCTATAGGGAGAAAACGGTCCATTTCTTTGTTGTTGTTGTTGTGTGTGGTGGGGGTGGTGTTGGTGCTTGTCTTTAAGCAAGGGCTTTCGGGGCTTCCTGTGTTGAATCCATTTGGCAAAGTGCCATGGCTCTCATCTGGATCCATGACTTAGATTTTTGGAGAGGGGAATGAATGAGCTTTTAGGATATTAATTATTTATTATATTGCATGTATAAACTGAAATAGAGGCATGAAAATAGGCATGTTAGAAGGGTTAGGACAAGAGAAAATCGAAAAACAAAAAAAAAGTGGGTTTCACCAATGAAATCCCCCAGACTCGCTCTAGACGTTAGATAACACTATTATTGACACTTCCGCATATATACACTTAATTAATTGTTTCAGGGCAATTAACAAATTAATTCTCTCATAATAGTTTTTTATTAATTCTCCAATTCAGTCGAAATGAATTGCAATTTCAATTACATATATAGGTACACATGTGAATTTAATAAGAATTTACACATATCCAATGATGTATGCGAAAAAATAACAGCGGGAGTGTAGTTCAACCTTTTAATGATACTTTTTTTATTAATGTTTTTTATCCATCATCTTGATACCACAATGTTTACACCTATTAATGAGCTATACTTCTTTAGTGTATTAATATTTTGTTTAAGTAAAGTATATATGGTAACAATCTCTACATCACATACTAATAAGGTATATAAAATAACAAAAATGAAAGTGTTTGAAAATAAATTTTACTGATTAAACAAAGGTTTGCAAATCTCCCTAGTTAAAGGTATCACATAGTAACACGTCATCAAAAAGAATTAGAATAAATGTTTAGTATAGTAATTATAAAATGAAATTTAACATGAAAAGCTTAAACATAAAGAAACCAACAAAAAGGAAATCTTAACTTAATTCTTATGTCACATTCTATCATAAAATAAATCTCAATGTACAAGATCTAGGTCTCGTCATGAGCATCATCAACATCAAGTTAAGTCTCGCCTATAGCAACATACATAGAAAAACAAACACAAGAAGGCAAAGAATGGGAAATATTTAACTCTAACTCACAGCATAGAACATAGTCGGATAGTTAAACACAAAATAAGATATAATAAAAATAATATATATTAATGACAAGATTGCATAGTAGATTTAGTTAAGGGTCACAATAAGGTTCATCACACAGTTAGACATCAACGTATATAATGCAATGGAAACAGACTTCAATGTACGCATGCATGTAACACTAGTAAAAATCACATTGTGGTACATTGTCATAAAGTACATATAGAGTAGCTTAAGAGATCATGTCAAATCACACTCTCATGCACTATACATTGAGGAGGAAATACATCAAGGCGCGTAGGGATAGTGGTATCGCACAAGATACACCCTATGCACACAACGAGCAAAACTAAGGCTTCCAAACCTGACTATCTGCAAGGTCATAGATCCCCAAGCTTAAGGTACCCATCCAAAAACAATTATGCATATGATGCATGTCACACAAGACTCGATGCATTATCATGTTATCACCACACACATTCACAATTGTGCACCCATTCATGTTTATCTCATATTCAAATTGCGACTAAGTATTGGCTTAGACTTTCCATCACATGACCCTCATAAAATCCATACACATAGAGATATACCATTGCTAGCACAACATCATTCAATCCATTCAAAACTCACAATCATATCAATAGCATACTCACACATCACAACCACTTACCAACATTAATTAGTACAAAAATTACACTTATTAAAGATACATCATAGCAAGAACAAAGTGATGGAATCATGCCTAGGAAGGCAAGAGGTGACATATTGAAGGAGCCAAGAGGAGTTGGCTAGACATGAAGGTTTGGGCCAGTCAAGGCCCAATGGGCCCGATGGGCTTGAAAGGCCCAAGTTGAGCTTCTCATAGGCCATACTTGGTTTTAGCTATTTTCTTATATCTTGTATATATCATGTTAGTATAGGTTTCCTATATTTTGGTCTTGTATTTTAGACCACATAGAGTAGCATTTTTGGGCCATAGGCCTATTGGGCCTAGTTTTGGGCTTCATGGGCCTTTGGGCTTTTAGTACCCAATATTGGGCTCATTTTGTTTCTTTTATTATTTCCTAATGTTTGTATTTCATTGACCATTGTATTTAGGTCATTAGATTAGGATTTAAGGAGGATTATTAGTTTAATTGAATTAGGCAAAACTAGGTTTAATTTAGCATGCATTTAAGTTGCATTTTGAGTCACATGGATGGTGCCACCTTGGCTGAACATGTGTGACTCAAATTCAACCCTAAATGCACACTAAATCAAACCTAAATACACCTAGCATCAATGTGAACCGGACTTGCACATGTGAGTTAAGTTTTGAATTCAAATTTTACAAGTTTTTATACCTACAATTATGATTAAGGATGAAAATAAACTAGGCTAGACTATGTTATATTATAATTTAATAGGTTTGAATCTAACTTTTTTTAAAAATACATGTACCAAATATGACATATTTATTTTTCATAGACATTTTTTAAATGTTTAGTTAGAACTACAATCTTAAAGATCACTTTATAATAATTTAACATTAATAGAAACATAAAAATAAATATGTTAAATTTTATAAAATCAAGTTTAATTTATTTATGATATAAACATGTTTTTAATATGTGATATAAATTTTTAGATGATAATTTATTTTAAAACATATTTTATAATAAAAATTGTAAATAGAACATAAATCTTTCAATCTTTCCTATTGTCATTTTTTAAAATCAACATATACAATCTTACAATTTTTTCAATTTTTATTTTTTTTATTAACATATACAATAAACAGAAAACACAAAAGGTAAACATGCATGCTACAAATTTTATTTTATCATAAATGAGAACTAATCTCATTTGAAAGTTTGACAAATACTAATAAATAAACCGTTTCTCCGAATTTATATTTTATACATATGATAATTTAAATATATATTATTAGAATATAACTTTCATTTTTAAAATATATTATTTTTTTGAATAAAAAAATTGTGTATGTTTAAAATGGTAGTGGGGGCAAGTGCCCCCACTTAATTGAATGTAGATTCGTCCCTGTTATCATCCATAACATTATTTGTTTCTGAATACTCAAAATTCAAAGAAACTAATGAAAATGTTAAATATCTATTATAAACAATTTATAATATTTAGCATTGAATGAAAATTTAAGAAGTTCAGTCAATAAAAAAATTATTTATTTATTTTCTTAAATGACTCTCGCTTGCGAGTCAAATCTAAAAGGACAATATTACCGGAAGGGTATGTAATGTACTAACAGAAGTTAAATGCTCACCTATTAAGTTCCCTTTTTTTCCTTTTTAAATTAACCATTAAAACCTTCCAAACAACCATAAAGAGTTATACAACAACCCTTTGTCTTTTTAATATGAATCAAAACCATTAACATTTAGAAAACTATAGTTTGACAAGCAAATAAAATGTTAGATAATTTAAAAGTCACCTGCACGGTATATGTTTGGCAGTAAATAAATGAGACAATGAAATCTTTAACATTCAAGTAGAAAAAAAAGGTCATATTGAGAGAAGAAGAAATATTTATCAGTAGAATTTAAAAAAAAATAGTATATGTATGAGACATAACATGTTCAGCTTGGATGGTGATTAAATTTTAGAAACCAATAATCACTCACGGTATATACGATGCAATAGATAAATCCATCAATTGAATCATTTATGTTCAAAGAGAGTAAAAAAAAAAATAACATTGAGAGAAGAATATTCAGAAATAAAAAAGAAATAAAAAATAAAGAGAGGTTTTTGATAGTATTGAAAATGAGCAAATCATTCAATGTTTTCAAACTATGAAAATTCGTAGAGAACAATTGTGATATGTATTTGTCTTTATAGAAATTTTATTTTATATTTAGATAAATTTATGTATTTAAATATTACCCCCACTATTTAGAATTCCTGGATCCGTCACTGTGTAAACACATAAATATAATTAATATTACAATATATCTTTATAGAATATTTTTGATGAGACAATGAAATCTTTAACATTCAAGTAGAAAAAAAAGGTCATATTGAGAGAAGAAGAAATATTTATCAGTAGAATTTAAAAAAAAATAGTATATGTATGAGACATAACATGTTCAGCTTGGATGGTGATTAAATTTTAGAAACCAATAATCACTCACGGTATATACGATGCAATAGATAAATCCATCAATTGAATCATTTATGTTCAAAGAGAGTAAAAAAAAAAATAACATTGAGAGAAGAATATTCAGAAATAAAAAAGAAATAAAAAATAAAGAGAGGTTTTTGATGGTGTCCGTCCCTAATTCCAGATCCATTTAAGCTTCCTCCTTCACTCATTGTATTCACTTTTGATATATGAAATTTGAGAGCAAATATTCTGCCAAGTTTCTTCCAAAAGTCACCAAGAGAGAGCCATCACTTTTTAGGAACCCTAGCTAGGTTTCCTACCTTGGGAAGTGAGCTTTCCTTTGTTCCTTAAGCTTGGATGCTTCCATTCTAGGAACCCTAAGTCCGAAAATCTTCACTCCTTCAAGTGTCTTACATTCGGATTTCAAGCTCCATTGAAGAGGTCCAAGCATTGGTGAATCCGAGGAGAAGAACATCTTCCACTTCTCCTAGTTTTCTCCATCACAAAGGGTCTCAATATACAAGGTGATGCCTGGTGGCAGTCACGCCACACCCAATGCGAGGCATCCAAAGAGCACAAGTTGCTCTCAAGATGAATCATGCTTGACGTGACCAAACTCACACCCAATTGAAACACCAAAGGGAGCCCCTAAAGCTCTCATGCCCGACACGAATGACACAAAGAGCAAACTTTGCTCTTGGCCACAGAAACGCCTAATGACCCTAATTTGGCACCAAGCATCACATTAGAAACACAACATAGCAAAGGCATGAATCTCATACAAGTGTCACTCAAAAAGTTTACAATTACAATTGGTAAAAGCATTCAAAAGGTCAAGTTGCACTTCTAAAAGCCACAACTTACATATAATCACATGTTCATATCAACTCTTCATACAAACACCAAAATGCATTCCTTTAAGGTTCCCATGAGAACCCATGAACAATCCAAGATTCACAAAATTAATTTAATACATGCAATTAAACATGCATAAATGTCAATAGCCTCAATTAAAGCATTGAATAATCATATGAATAACATAAACACAAGGCAAGTCATAATTTTGGGATTTCTCTCATATGACGCATATAATGGAGAAGATATTAGGTTCAAACTTACTATTCGACATAAACCAGACATCTAGAGCAAGATTACTCACTCCCCCTTACCTCGATGAACAGGGTGTGAATCTCTGAGATGATTTTCAACGATATTTGATTCTCCTAGTTCTTCAAAATATAACGTCCTATCAAGTCATTACACTTAGTTGTCCAACTACTAACAGTGGAAAATATAATTATAACTACCTAATTAAGATTTGTATACAAACAGTTTAATCGATAGACATATGTAATATATGTATAAGAATGTAGAGAAACAAACTCATAAAATTTATGAATGTTTAGGAACTCCATCATATATTGTACACACACACACATATAGTGATCCAAAATAATCAACTGAAATGTATATAAGCATAGGTTGTCGATCAAGCAACATACTATATCAGCTACCTCAGAGTAGCTCAAAAGATCATTTGCATCATAGCTAACTTGGGCTCAAATGTACTCCTCCTCATGCTTATCCATGTTATGTTCTCATATTAAGTATGGTCATCATAGTTCCACCACATGAAAACATGCAAGGATAAACTAGTATTCAAAAGAATCAACATAATCAATATAGAAGTAGACACTACTATATATACTACTAACATAAACAACTTATAAACTTAACATATTATTAACCTACAACTTCTCAATGAAATACAACATGTTGCTTAACTAGATCAACACAACAACAATACTTCAAATTACAACACAATAATGCAACTCATCACATGCACAACTTATTATTCAACTTGAATAACCTACAAAATGGCATATACATCACACCATATAACAACTCAACTACATGTGTCGTCACATATTTCAACTAGGAGATTTTCTACAACATAGGTGAGTAGTCTAAGTGGCTTGACCTTACCGAACCAACAATGCGATCTTTTCAATACAATTAGATCAATAGTCAATTTAGATAATTATTCATAGCAACATGGTTTCTTAGCTTTCGTCATTAGTTTGGGTGTGAGTCTACCACGATGTTAGCTTGCATAACTAAGTCACTTATGAGATTAGCACGTCAACTACCCTCCAAATACTATGTCCTTCTAGTATTCAATTAGGGATTTAGCCTCCGACATTGTACCTTACTCTAATTTGGTCGCTTTATACATGAATGGCTCTATTTTGTCCATATACGGATCAATATAGGTCATTTTATAATAAGTATAGTTTGACATGTCCCCTATATTGTGGTTGCTTATAATTAGTATTCCTTGACCTTACCCATATATCGCATCTAACTAAGGTTTTAGAGAAGATTCAACTATTCACTTCAAGAGTCAATTATTCAAGAAGGGTTTTTAACCATTAGGCTCATAAAGCACTATAATAATATCATCACAATTGGATATCCAACTTTCAAAACAACATCTCCTTTAAAACCTAAGTCAATTAACTCAACACAACTTTATGTCTTAAGCATTCTCAACACGATATAACATACATCACATGCTAAATTCCAACAATTTAGTCAACTATATACATTGATGTATAAATAAATGATATCATACATTTAAGTTCTCCTACTACTCGTATAATGTTCAAAACTTAGCCAAACACCACATTTTAAATAGACAACTCACATTCGATGCCATATCCTTCTCACACTTGGTATCATTTAGGCAGAGAGCTCTCATACTTATCCATGCCAAGTGCTACTCAACCTATGCCCAACGTGGATGAGGCAAAAAGTCTTTATTGCTCCCATGTTTGGCAATGACTAAACTCCAAGTCAGCCTTAGTTTAGACAGAAAAGATTCTCCCTCCTCACGCTCACGCGGACATAACTTCATTAGCAATTAATGTCACTCACGTAGAGAGCTTTGTCTTTGTCACCTTGGGCTCCACAAAACATGGGTCCGACGTCATCAAGCCAGAGACAATATAAAAATGAGACCCACACATAAAAATCGCAAATTAGTAATTTTTAATTAACAACTTTAGAATATATAGATTACGCTATCAATAAAAAAAATAAAAAAAATTTCTAACATCTTTTACATTTAATCAAAGAGAATTTAGTTCAAATATAGAATATTTATATAAAAGAATTTGCAACTCAATCATATATGATGAAGTCATCAAAGATTTGACATTTTCGAATTTTACTAGTAACTTATGGTAGACTCAAAAAATAAAAAAGATTTGTACGAACGAAATATCCAACAAGAAAAAGAAAAATGATTGAATTGAAGAACTCCTGCATCTCTCATAAAGGAGTGTTAAGACATATTCTACTCAAACCAAAATATACTTGGTGCTAATTAGTTTCTTTCTTTATCATTCTGAAGTGCATAGTATGTCCTACTCATTACAACAAGATGGTAAAACAACATTCGAACAAAGCAAATTAGAATATTTTACTTCATAAATTTTCTTTTGTTCTTTAATACATCATATATACACAAACTTTATCTTTATAATTTTATATGACAACTCCCCCACCTTATTAAACCTGACTTCGATCTCCATACTCATACAAATAGAAACATTATAAAACCCAAAAACATTGGGCTTAAAGTTCAAAATGAATATTTTTCACAAAAAAAAAATACAAAATGAAACCATTAAAGACACAAATAATGCATTTAAGAATTCCTCACTACGGTGGCCTCCCTCAGTCTTTTATTCCCCCGCACGGCCGTTATTTGCCCCAGTGTTTGTGCACAGACATTATCTTGTATTGAAGTGCTCCTTTTTTATCTAAATGAAGTTTGCAAGACATAAGTACTAGTAAGCCTTCAACTTCCAGTATTTGATATTTGAACCAATAATATATTGCTCCTGTCCATATATTCAATATCATAACTACCACCAACTTTTGGCGATATCTTTTCCAGAACCTCAAATATTAATTACCAAAAGCCTCTACAGTTGAAAGAATATGATCAAATTTCCTTAACTATGTTGCATCAAAAGACACCAACCCATAAACAGAGGAGATCAAAATTAATTACCAAAGAAAAAGACGAACACAAACTGCCTAACTATAATGATACATAAATAATGGCGGCAGTACAGTTACAAAAGAATTTTGAGCAGCCAAAACCCAAAAATCACCCAACAATCTGGTTGGCATCTTAACCAATAGCATACTCGAGGGTCTCCAATTCTTTAGGCCGCCACATGGACTTCTGGACACATAAAATGCCCACCTTATCTTTAGAGTAAGTCATGCGGACCTCCCACTGCATGGACTTCACCATACTTTCAAGCTCGTTAATGATGTCAACAGTGTCTCGGACAATAAACTTTCCCTCAGGCCTAAGGATCCGATCAACCTCAGCCACAACAGCTTTTAAATTACACCTGCATGACGTTGAACATTAGCAAAATATTCAGATTATTTCTAATCTGATAATAAAGATTTTACTGTTGATGAATGAGGAATGAAATAGTTGTTAGCACCTGTTCTTAAGATTTGAAAACAGATGATCTGCATGAAGTAGATCATAGGACCTTGGATAGGTGCTAAATGATTCACACCAATCATGATACATACCAAAGAGACCTCGCTCATATATAATAGGAAGTGTGTCCGGGGAATTTACTGAAACCACATTCATGACCCAAATATTCAAATCCTTCAAGGCTGCGGCAAACCTGTAGCCCAAAAAAGATGTCACAGGCAATAATAGCAGTTTAATGTAATTCAGAGCAACATGGGAATCAACAAATTTCGCTCACCCTCCATAGACTGATCTCATATCCATGACATTCCGCACATTGGACCAATTAATCCCCATCCCATTAAGATAAGACTTGGATACTATACGTTTCCAGTGTTCATAGTCAGCATTAAAATCTTCAGGAGCAGGCTTTCCATAAACTCCAACTTGAGAGTTTGTCAACCAGTACGGTGTGTTGGTCAGTCTTGCTGGCCACTTCTCTGGCCATTGTGACCCACGTTCTGTTGAATTCACTGGCACTTTGTGCATGCAAGCTTGTAATGGAACGTTCCTATCACCAGAGAGATTAGACAGCAGAAACATATATTACATCTTTTTGGTTTGTATAATGTAAAGCAATCCAATTATTGCAGAGTTAGTTCAAGAAAAAGGTAGTTTGAGAATATCAATGTCCTATCCTATAGAATTAATACTGCAGGTTTATCCAAACTTTAGCAGATACGTTGGAAAGAAAACATTGTTCATTTATAGCAGAATCCGATTGTAATCAAAGGACATCACAAGTTTTGGTTTTATGTTTCATACATGCACCCAGAAGAAAAGTTGAATAAAAAAAACTGCAACGTTTATATTACAGTCAAAGATCATCAGTTAACGAAGAAATACCATGCTGCATTAGGATCATCAGAATCTGGACATATAGGAGGTTGATTCTTAGAACGTTTCTCATAACACTCATTAGAAGTTGGCTTCTTGTACACAGCTATACCAACTCCATTAAGTTTATCCTTGCTGATGGACACAACTTCCCAGCACAACGCTTTTGTTAGTGCCTTCATTTCTGCAAATTAATTCATAAAATGTCAGAATTAATGCAACAACACTAAACTGCTTAATAGAGGCGGAAAAGAATATTATTATCTACCATTCCATATTTCAACATCTTCAGGAAGCTTCTGATAAATAGGAGTAGCAGACCATACAAAGAAACCACCAGGTCGCAAAACTCTATTCAGCTCCAAAAGAAGTTTGCCACCTACACTTATATAAGCAGTAAGTCAAAATTAAAATCCAGTTGTATTTATATGAATTTACATCCAAGTACTCTATATATATAAGGAACTTGTTTTAAAATCCAAATACCCCAACAGCGAGATGTACTAAAATGCCACAAAAATTTCAAGAACAAGAATTAATCTAATCACAATAAAAATGGGGTCATTGAATACCTTCTATATGCCATGGAACTCTACAGCGGGCACAGTGGACTACATCGAATACTTTCCCAGGGTAGGGAAGCCTCTTTGTGCCCATGACAGCAGATATAGCAGGAATTCCTCTTTCAAGTGCAAATTGCACCTGAGCTTCATGTTCATCTTTTGGTGCCAATGACATTGTAAGTACATCTCTTTCAAAGAGAAAGCCACCAAAGCTAGCAACACCACATCCAACGTCTAAAATCACACGTGAGCGCTTGCCCCAAGCAATATCAGGTACAGACTGCAGCATCAAGGTTCCTTATATTAAGTAAAAATACTCAACAACAAGAAAACATATGACATCCATATAGAAATTTATTTGTATAAGTTCAAATAATGTTCATATCCCGATTTGTTAAATTTTGGTTGTCTCCTAGTGTAGCATACATTGATAGTCCACACCAACCTGATTTTTCCTATGATAGACATAAAAAATTTATTAAAAAAAAAAAATAGCCTTTCTCTATCTCAACTTTCATTTTCTATTTGTTATTCTACTCATCATCTTGTGTACAATTCCTAACTATTAAAAAAATTACAATCACTTATTTTATGTCATGATAGTATCAAAACTTTTTTTGCTCTGGATATCATATTATTAATGTAAAATGTTAGACAATTTAATCTCATACCAGTCACCTAAGAAATGCCAGTATTAGATCAACAAGATGCATGCCCACTACAAGAAGGAATTGCCATAAAAAAATGTTTTTTTGGGTGCTGCTAATGTGTGCCTTTAGGGCATATGTTAAGAAATTAAAACATAAACTTTTAATTAAGAAGTGGAAACATTTAATATCTTGAAAATCTAATACTTTTTGTACCATAAGGTAATAATATAGCACATGTAATATAAATTCATGGAACATGCTGCAAAAGGTCATCCAGAGTTATATATAAAAACTCAACAATAAAAGCAACTAACAGTCAACCATGACAAGAGTAGAGTACACATTTTACCTTTTGTATGGTGTCAATGTAATGAAGTGCACCGTGTTTGAATTGGGTTCCACCACCTGGAAAAGTAAGGTACTCGCCTGTAACTTTCACCCAATTCTGGTGCCCCTTATATTGAGCTAGCTTAGTATGTGGAACATTAGAATACCATATCTGCATGAAAACAGTTTATTATTTTATTTATGGAAGAATAAAATTCTAAACAAAGAATGATAATTGACAATCATTTGGGTTGATGTTTACCTTCTCTCTGCTTTTGGGCCATTCAATTGGGCGTTTGTATCCTTCAGGAAGAGGGACAAGGCAGGTAGGAGGTTCTTCAGGACATTGCCTTTCTCTGTGTTCATAGTGTTTGGTACTTGGAAGGTTCCTAACTGCTTTCAAGTTGTCGAGGCATGGGATGTAATCAGGGCCTGCAGTGACATTGCACAGTTTCCAATTGTAGCCAGTAGATTGCTTGGAGGATACTTGAGACTCCTTTTCATCCTTTGACACTGCAGCCTGAGTTGAAAAAGAACCATTTGACGTGGTACTTTCATTCAGAAGCTCTGACTGAGCCACAGAAGGGAACACCTCATTTGAAGCCTGGTTGTTGGCACTGTCATCTGTTTTCGTCTCCGTAGAATTTTCATCTGACTCCTTGTTACCACTTTGTTCCACCTTTTCGTCAATCTTATCTAGTGATCCACTTGAATCCTCAGATTTCTTCTCGCTTTCATCAGAATCAGATTTCTTCTCTGACTCTTCTGAATCCGATTTCTTCTCAGTCTCTTCTGAATCTGATTTCCTCTCAGTCTCTTCTGAATCCGATTTCTTCTCAGTCTCTTCTGAATCCAATTTCTTCTCAGCCTCTTCTGAATCAGATTTCTTTTCATTATCCTCAGATTCAGATTTCTTTTCATTATCCTCAGATTCAGATTTCTTCTCGTTCTCATCAGAATCGGATCTTTTCTCAGTCTCATCAGAATCAGATTTTTTCTCCTTCTCGTTAGAATCAGTCTTCTTCTCATTCTCATCATTATCAGATTTCTTCTCACTCACATTTGAATCGTTATTTTCTGTTTTTGTATCTTCAGAAGATTTCTCTGAAGGCTTTTCGTCCAATTTCTCTTCCTGTTTTTCTGGCACGTCTGAGTTTTTATCAGCAGTGACACTACCGTCCCCTTTGGTTGCATCCTCAGACAGATCACCCCGATTATCTTCGAACTGTGGAGAATTGTTATTAGAGGGGTCAGTTGCCTGTTCTTTCACCCCACTCTGTTCTCTCACATCATTCTTACTTTCCTCAGACACATCTACATTTTGTACAGGCACTACAGATGATGATGTCATCATCCAAATCCCAAACAAGCAAAGAGCTACAAACACGACAATTGTCACCGTCGAACAGTAACTCGACGATCGTTTATTATCTATTCTAGTATATTTCGCTTGAGCCATGTTGTCACAGGGTGTGGTTCACAGATAGTTTAAACCTGGAAACGAACCAAAAAACAATTAAACACCATCCCCCTTTTTGAACTTGGATCAGTACTAGCAACATTCAATTGTCAATATCAATAAAGTTAGATTGCAAAACACATGACATGAGCTAACAAGTCACTCAATTACAGAATACAGAATGCTCACAAATCTGGAATAATTTATAACAACAACGTCGAAACAGATAAAATTACGAGGATTAAGCAAAAACATATGGCGTTTGAATTACTAAATACATGACAACATGGCATTGCCATGTTATGACTAATGAGAGAGGTGAAAAAAATAATTCCGTGCTCGTCTTTCGAATGCTTCCACAATTCAAGCGGAAACACACGCGTATTGAAATGTATCTCTCTCTCTCTCTCTCAACGCGAGAACATCGTCTTACCAAAAACGACCAGATCTAACAAATTCAACAAATAAGAATGAGCTAGAAAATCAAAATAACCAGAAAAAACGGATCAGAAATTCAACAAGAGTGCAATTCAACAACGAAGACTCCCACGCATAGCATTGCCAAGAATTGCGGAACCGCGGAAAATTTTAAAGATTCAACGGATTGAAAACAGAAGAAAAGACGCGTTCAACGCGAAATCAACAACTCTAGCGCAGATCTACACTGCCAGAAACAAAAACCGCAGCAGTAGCATGAACGTTACGCAAACACAACCAAGTTGCATGCTAAGAGCAAAGAAAGCAAGAAAAAAAAAACGGTAAAACAAAAAAGTTCAATCCGCATAAGCAACAGCAAGAAATTAGAAGATTAAACGAAGAAAAGCGCGATTCCGGTGAGTATGTCGGTAGATCTGAAAAGCTTGAAAAAGAGAGAAAGAATGATTGGACGAACCTACGGCTGTTCGGAATGGAGCGAATCTGAGAAGGAAGGGGGAGAGGTTATCTGCGCATTGTGTTGCGCATGGCAAAGGTAGAAAGAGAGGTATGCGGAATGAAAACTCGGAAATGGAGTGCGATGGGGAAGTGCTAGAGGTGGATATAATAATACCAGAGGGTGGGGTACAGCAGCGTTTGTCGATTTGGGGGGAATGATTTTCATAAGTCCGAATGTTAGTTTTTTTATGATTTATACTAAAAATATTTATAAATTACTAAATTTTTATAAATGTTTTCTACTTTACATTCCTTTTATTGAGGACAGAAACTTGCATTCCTAAGTCCATCATAATGTGCTTAAAGAGTGAGAATCGAGTATTTTATGCAAAATCTTAAATTTTTTATCATTATTATTTTTATGTAAAAAAAAAAGTTTACATCATAAATAAATAAATAATTCATATTACAAACCACTATTTTGAGATAATTTCTATGCATAATATGTTTTTGATTAATTGACGTAATTAGTGATTTTTTAAAAGTACAAATTTAAAATTTAAAAGATATTTTATGATCCAAATCTTCGTGGATGTGATGTGAAAGGACACAATTAAATAGATAATTAGGAAAATAGTGGCTAAGGTCAAAGAATGGTAACGAAAAAAGTGAGACTAGGAGAAAAGTGACGAGCCCATGAAAGGCGTGAAACCGGTGGGGATCAGCGTCGTTGGGTTTGCTAAACAAGGACTCGTGCCGCAGTAATTTCGCGTGGCTATAGGTTAAATGTCCGTGAACAAAATTTAAAAAAGGGTCTTTCTTCCTTCCTATTCTTTTCTTATACAACGTTATCTCTTTTCCTTTTTCTTTACTATTACAAGGAGATAATGGTTGAATCAACCAAATTTACTGTAGAGCTTGCTTTGTTAATTAAAATAATAATAATAAATATCTAACATACTATGATGCGTCTAACTTTGTATTTAAAAATAAATAAATCATATTACTTAAAAATCTCTCTTTATCTAATTTTACATCTTTTTCGATATTAACAAATTTGAAAGGGAGAAGAGGATTTTTAAAAAAATAGTATAATATTTAAAACATCCTAATTTATGTTATTAAATTTAAAATTATAAAGATATAAAAGTAAATTAATTTAAAAATATATATCTTCTTTTGAATTCAACAAAAAAAAGAGTTACTTTTACTCTCTTCTTTTCTTGTTAACTAAACAAAATTTTTAACTTTTATCTTGTTTTTCCTTTTCCTCTTATATCCTTCATTAAAATTTCTCCCCTCATTTGAATTTGAACCCGATGGACGCTTATATAATCAAATATATAAGGACTAGAGCAAATGCATGAAAAAAAAAAGTTATTGTTATTCAATCAAATGAATGGAGAAAAGATTTGTTGTTCTTTCTTTTAATTTTATTTTATTTTCATTTTTTAAACCAATCATGGATCTACTATTTTTATTTTATGTATTTTTTTATTATTTTTTTCATTCCAAAGTCCAAAGAAATGCTTAATGTTCAAGTTATGTTAGGTTTCCCATTAAGCATGAAAATTATATACTTCGATCACACTCAACATATGTAGCCTTCTTAATTTAGATATAAAAATTGAAACTCATTCATATGAATGTAATGGTACCAATGAGCAAAAGTTAGAATGCCACGAATTTTGTATTAACAGAGGTTTACAAGGACTACACCTTACAGGGAAATCACTTCTTTGAATTCAACATTTTTCATGTACAAGAAATGTCCCATATTAAGTAGCGAGTGTTGGTGAATACCCATTATTATTAATTATGAACATTCCTTGTGAGTTAATCATATGTTTCCCTTTCGAACCTCAACAAACAAATGTTGTCTCTGTTAATTAGAAACAAAGAAAATTGCATACTCAACGAGTCAACGTGTAGCCAATAAAGTTTTGATTTGAATGCACTAAAAATCTCAACTCTTCCGCAATATTATTGGAAAATAATTCTTTAAGTTCAAATCTTTTTATATTTACACATGAGTAAAAGGTAATTTGTATCATTCTTTCATATACGTTAACTAATGGCTATTGAAATATTCAAATAAAAAATATATTCTATCATATATTTATGATGAAGGCTAGGTGGAAATTAGGACAGTGCTCAAATCAAACTTTAGTGTCTTTTAAAATTGGGATTGATGAGTAAGTGTACCCTTCCAGATATTTATCTAGATATTTAGTCTAAGACAACGTAACATATAACATGATCTAACAGATTAGTTTGTAGGACTAGTTAGAATAAATTTGACATAAATATATTAGATAAAATCTTGTCTTTAATAATTATAATTACACATCAAAATACATGACCCAATAATAGATAAAGATCTTACAAAATTTCATAATTCTCAAAACTCATAAAGATACAATAATTAAGCATAAAATCCTCATTTTAAGATAAAAATAAATAAAATATATTTTTAAATATTCTATAACTTTAAGTAAGTGACTAAATTATTCTTAATATGCTTTTGAGATCGGACAAAAAATTATATATTAAAAGACTTTTTTGATCTTCATTAATTATTATTATATAACTTTTAAAAAGATTAAAAATGTTAAAAAATAATATATAAAAAAATAAATTTTATATATAGAGATTGATTAATCAAATTAATAATTTCAATTTTGATATATAAAAAAAGTCCTATTATTGCATAGGATTGATTCGTATAGAAATTTCAACTTAATTTTATATCGGAATGAATCTCATTCCTATGGATAAAAATATATGGAAATGAATCTTTTATTAATTATATATTTTTTTTTACATAAGGTAAAAAAATTATAATATTTATTAAAATAAATATTCCTCCTAAAGTGTTTGCAAATCTACCACACTAAGATCTGAAACGTGGCGCCCACCCCAGTTGGAATGAGAGATGTTTAAAGTCGGTGGGTTTTTTTTTTATAATTTGAATTATTAATTCATACAATAAAAAAAATGTATAGTAAATGTAAATGTGAAAGGGTTCATAACGTCGCATGTGATGGATGGATTAGGAAGAAGACTAAAAAGGACGCGGAAGGAAAGTGAAATGCAATGAATCACGATGGGTTGGACACAAACTGTCATAAATGCACAATATATATAATAATCTTTAATCTACAACAATAAAAAGGGTATCTTCCCTTAATGTCCACATTTAATTTGACATTTTCCTCCTCAGTTTTATTATTACAAATATATATTCCATTTCAACTAATAAAGGATAATATTGGAAAATTTTATTAAACACACGCAGGGAAATTAAACTGCTTACACAAAAGTAAATGTACACTTTTTTTTTAAGAAAAAAATTAAATTCCATCTTTTATCCGAAAAGGGGACAAAATAACATATACAGATCTTCATTTTATATTTCACTTCTCTCTCAATTTTTAACCACGTAAAGTCATAAACCGCCCACCCATTACTCTCTCTCTTTTTTTTTTTTCTTTCATTTTCTTTTTATAGTTTTCCTTATTTCTTTCAATTTCTCTGATTCTGGTTTTGATTTTAACCTAATTTGAGTTTCAAATTGTGAAAAAATTTCTGAAACAATTTGTTTGAATTGATTAAGTGATTACTATTATTTTATTTAATACGTCAGAAATGTTATTCGAAATTCACGTTTTCATCAAAAATATTTGATCATTAAAATTTTCACTCACTTTTTGTCTCCCCTCATTTAACTTTCTCAAGTTTTTCCACTAAAATGTAAAGGTATATTATTTGTATCCTATAATCTAAACTTTGAGTTATATTTGTTGGTATAGTCTCTTATATATTTGGTATTATAATCTTTTTTATATAATAAATATTCTTTGTTTCGAGTTACTTTTTCATAATTTAGAAAGTTCATTTTCAAGTCAAAAAGTCTTAAATAAAATTTATAATCAGATCTCGTTCTCATATGCAATCCTTCGTTTATGAGACGTTGATAAGTGAGATTTACGTTTTCTAGCCCAGACAATATGACTTAATAGTAAAAATTAGTCGAATTAGTTTATGAAAATAGTTTTGTCTTCATTTCTTACATACATTTTTATTTTATTATATTCGAAATACACATCCAAAAAATTGAATAATTGGTGTCTAATCGTCCTATCAACAAGTTGATTAATGTTCGGGAGAGGATAAGCATCATCCGAACATGCTTTGCTTATATTCATGTAATTTTTGCACATTTTCCATTTTTTACTTGATTTTTTCACCATGACCACATTAGTCAGTCATGTCGTGTATGTTATTTCGCAAATAAAGCGACCGTTTAGTAGCTTACTAACCATTGTCTCAGCTGCTCTCTTTTTTTCTTCTACAATTTTTCTCTTATTTTGTGCTATCGATTATGCTTCTTGGCATGTTGCAAGCCGATGACAATGGGACCTAAGACCAATACTCAACATGTCACTCGTGGACCATGCAAACAAATCACAATTTTTTTTATAACATTCCTTACAAGAGTTCGTTTAGAAGGATCTAACTGAGATCCACAAAAGGTTACTTGTGATGCTACGTCTCCAAGCGTAAGACACAATATCTCCTCATTCGGCTCAATTTGTTCTTCTTCTCCCAACCTTAGGTATAAGTCAAGTAAATTAGTCAATAAATTCAAAAGGCCTACAACCATATTAACATCCCTAGGTGCTTCCTCTTCTTTAAGAGGTTTCAATTTCAAACTGGCCAAGTAACATTTCCTTGCTATTTTTTGGTCGGCATGGATTGTTATGATGTTTTGTCTTGATTATTTATTTTTTTTCTTTTATGGTTTTGGAGGAAGATAAGTAAATGATGTTATGTTTAATAAGGAGACTCTGATTTTTTTACTATCTTTGTTGGTGTTATATATGATTTATTATGTTTATTTAAAAAAAATAAGGGAAGAAAAAGTAAGGATGATTTGTTGGGGACAGGAACAATGGACACCCATTATTTAGATACATTTTGGCTCATAATAAGTTATAAGTTCAGTTCACGTTAATAGGTAATGTGCATAGACAACATGTTGCAAAGTTTTTTTATCACATCAATATTTTTTCATTTTTGACCAACACTTATAATACTTTAGTTAGCATTATACATACGAAATGTTGTTAAAAACAAATTTGATCCTTATTCAATCTTTTATCTTTCAATTTAGTTATTTTTAAACTATGATAAATAAATGTACATTGCATTAGTTTATACATTTTTTGTCCAACAAATCAATGTAATGTGAATTATGTAAATGTCACTAATGTTTGATAATTCATAAAAAAAAAATGTGCAGGTTAGTGCCAAATGAAAATGACCTTAACATTACGTTTTGATCACAAGTTGTCTACATATCAATCATATTCAAATGTTTCTAATCATGCGATCAACTAACAAATTAATAAGGTGCCTTGTTAATCTTTCAATGTGCTAGCAGATGCATTACCATTTCAACATTTAATACGAAATGTGAGATGCACTCTAGGCATATTAGGCGGGGCTAAATTCAACTTGTGATGGAAAATTGGTTAAATGCAATGTTAGAATACACAAATATAACCTTTTTTTGCTATCAACTTGGTACACTTGTATTAAAATTTTAATCTATTATAACAAAAACATGTTTAGTTGTATATATACCTTTAGTGTGTACACATCTATCATAAATAAAAAGACTATTTATAGTGTATATGTGCATTTTATGATGAACTATACCTAGATGATGCATTTCAAACAATCATTAGAAATGTAACTTTAATCTTAGATTTTTATATGCACATAACAAAAGTAGGGGTGGACAAAACGAACTGAACTGAACTGAATTTATAAAAACTATACTGAACTTAGTAGTTCATATGAACTGAACTAAACTAAATATTAGTTCAGACGAACTGAATTGAACTATTCTTTTGTGTCATTGAACTGAACTGAACTATACTATAAAAACTTGAACTGAACTCAATTTAAACTGCACTAAACTGTTATGATATTTTGAATTGAACAATTTTGACTCATTTATCTATCAAAATAGGACACATTTGTCAACTTTACTTTATTTTCCATTTTATTTAAATTTTTCAAAGGAAAAAAATATAAAATTAAGTCAAACAAATTCAGTGAATTTTAAGCCTAAAAATAAGTAGTTCAACATAGCTCAATTGATCCGTTAAGTTCAACAAAATTGATACAATTTTTTTTCAAATCACTTTTTTTCTAAAATTTTGGTTATTAAACTATCGAGCTAATCTATTAAGACATAACATGTTAAACACATTTAATTTTTTTTTTTTTAAAAATAGTTCAATTTTTATAATTCAGTTCAGTTTTTATAGTTCAGTACAGTTCAACTTTACAACAGTTCAGTTCAGTTCAGTTTTTTTTAAACAGTTCAGTTCAGTTTTTTTTACAAACAGTTCAGTTTTTTATAGTACAGTTCACCACCAGTTCAGTTCAGTTCAGTTCAGTTTAGTTTTTTTTGCCCACCCCTAATAAGCCTAAAAATAAGTAGTTCAACATAACTCAATTGATCCGTTAAGTTCAACAAAATTGATACAATTTTTTTTCAAATCACTTTTTTTCTAAAATTTTGGTTATTAAACTATCGAGCTAATCTATTAAGACATAACATGTTAAACACATTTAATTTTTTTTTTTATAAAAATAGTTCAATTTTTATAATTCAGTTCAGTTTTTATAGTTCAGTACAGTTCAACTTTACAATAGTTCAGTTCAGTTCAGTTTTTTTTAAACAGTTCAGTTCAGTTTTTTTTATAAACAGTTTAGTTTTTTATAGTACAGTTCACCACCAGTTCAGTTCAGTTCAGTTCAGTTTAGTTATTTTTGTCCACCTCTAAACAAAAGTAGTCTTAGTTGTTGATAGAGTAATGATTCTAATACATTTTCTTTAAAAAAAATCGTTGTTTTAAATTTTGATTGATAAATAATGATTTTCAAGTTGTCATATTTCAAATACTTTACAATGTTATACTTAATTGAATAAATGATAAAAGACTAAATGAATTAGAATTAATGAAATTCATAACATCTAATTTAGCTTATTAAATTCATTATATTAAACATTAATCAAATGTAATATGTAATAAATTATGTAAACTATATATAACTTACGTTAATATTAATATTTTTTTAATATTTTTTATTGTATTAAGCATATTATTCAATTGGAATTCGTTTGATTTTTTTTACTTTCAAATATCTCATGTAGCTTTTTAATGTGCAGTTACATTGTCCCAATTTACATATCTTTTAGATATATTTTATTGCACTGTTGAAAAAACTTTATCTTTTAAACTCAAATTATCATGCCCCTCAAGTTACTGAAGTTATAAAAATACCATGACTTTGTTCCAAATCTCATTCTACAATTGATCTTCACTCTAACTATCATAAATGCATTTAAATGTACTACCAGTTTCAAATTTTCCTTTTATATAGTTTATGCATTTTGTAATCAATAGATTACTTATATAAATAACAATATTAATAATACAAATTATTTTAGTAAATTTAAGATATGTGTGCAAATATGCCCTTGTCATGACACACGTACCGTATTAATTTGCTGTTAAAAGATGTATGATTCACCAAACTTTATTATTATTTTTATCTGCATGTCTTAAAAAAGACCAAAAACTTAACATTTTATTTAGACCAAACACAAAGCAAATAAATAAAAATACCATATTTCTTAAAGTATTATTTATTTTACAATAAATTATTTAATTAAACATAGCGCAACTAAAATTAATTTTAAAAAATTAATCATTTATGATAAGTTAATATTATAATAAAAATAATATTCATAATAATCTATTTTAATTTGGCAAAATCAATTTAAATTTATAAAATATTATATTACTGGTTTTGGATATAATAAATTATATATATATATAAAATAAAATAACCGGTTGTAATTAAAATTGATTTTAAATTAAAGAAAAAATTGTGATCGAAAATATTCACTTTAACAAATATAATAATGAAAACAGTTGAAAAAGTAACAGGGTTTTTTTTTCGAAATCAGTTTAAAAAGTAACAGTCATTAACATATTGTATAAGTAGTTTAATATTTTTATTTATTAATTAATAAATGAAGTTTAGTAGTTTAAACATAAAGTTACACTGAAGATATTTATTTTATCTTTATAAAGGTTAATACGGTGATTATATTTATTTATTAAAAAATTATAAAAGTGCATAAAATAATTTTTAAAATATTTTTTTAATTTTCAAAACCGATTTTTAATTATAATCGGTTATATTATCTAAAACCTTTTATATAACAATTTAAAAAAAAACCAAATTCAATTATAAAAAAATTAGTGATAATTTAAGTATAATAACCACATACATAAATATTTATTAAATACTTATAGTTAGATTATTTAAATAACATCCTTAACAAGGGTCGAGAAGCATGTACTGTCATAATTAGGGGTGGGCAAAAAAAACTGAACTGAACTGAACTGGTGGTGAACTGAACTGTACTGTACTATAAAAAACTGAACTGTTTGTAAAAAAACTGAACTGAACTGTTTAAAAAAAAAACTGAACTGAACTGAACTGTTGGATAGTTAACTGTATTGAACTATAAAACTGAACTGAATTATAAAAATTGAACTATTTTTATAAAAGGATAAAAATTAAATGTGTCTAACATGTTATGTCTTAATGGATTAACTCGATAGTCTAATAACCAAAACTTAAAAAAAAAAAAAAGTGATCCAAAAAAAATTGTATCAATTTTGTCGAATCTAACGGATCAATTGAGCTATGTTGGACTACTTATTTTTAGGCTTAAAATTCAATGAGTTTGTTTGACTTAATTATATATATATATTTTTTGAAAAATTTAAATAAAATGGAAAATAAAGTAATATTGGCAAATGTGTCTTATTTTGATAGATCAATGAGTCAAAATTGTTCAATTCAAAATATCATAACAGTTCAGTGCAGTTTAAACTGCAGTTCAGTTCAAGTTTTTATAGTATAGTTCAGTTCAGTTCAATGACACAAAAAAATAGTTCAGTTCAGTTAGTCTGAACTAATATTTAGTTTAGTTCAGTTCATAAGAACTATTTTTAAGTTCAGTATAGTTTTTATAAGTTCAGTTCAGTTCAATTCATTTTGCCCACCCCTAGTCATAATCCACGTTATTTTCAAACAATACATAATAAAGACAATTTCTGAAAAGCATACAAAATTAAACATGCTTTCTAAAAGATAAATGTACAATTATATCAAAAGTTACTTATGATTAACGGTTGAATTTTGAACAAGGACTTAAAAATTACTATTAAAGTGACACTAATCTATACTTATTATAAAGGAGATATATTTTAGTAATGATTTTTTTAGTCTCTATTTTTTAGTAGATCTTTGAATTTAAAAAGAATAAAATTTTTATATTTTCTATAATTTTTAATGTTATTTAAAACAAATTTATTGTAAACAAAATTTATAATTTTGGGATAATAAAAAAAAAAAACTTATTACAAGAAAAATATTAATTTGAATGACAAGTATTGACTTACATCACCCCTGTATTAATTTCTACCTTAAAAGATAATATATAAATAAAATATGATCATTTTTCTATCATAAGTTTCTCTAACTAACTAGACTAAAGACTAATCTCTTTAGTAATCCCGTAAAAGTTTTAACTTTTGATTAAAAATGGCGTTATTAAAAAAATGTAGACTTATTATATGTTTATATTCACTCAAAATACGCATCATAATTTAACGTGTCAAACATAATGTCTATTTTTTAGTTGTGCTGTATATTTACAAATTCTAACAACAATTTACTCATACTTTTCTAGTTCGTAACATTAAATTCTTAGTCCAAAGTATGTTAAATAAAATTTAAGCAAAGATATAATAATAATAATAATATTATTATTATTATTATTATTTGTTTAGCGTCAAGATCCAGACTTATTCTTTTATTCTTGAACATGCTGCTACTCCGCATTTGTTTTCACGCCACCGAATCTCAGGTGAAAATTAACGATCACACCAAATCATGATTCCCATAATACCCTCCTTGATTTCCTTAATGACAGAAATATGCCCCTAAACCAAACACGGCATCTTCTAGTTGTATCCATGGCTGAACCAGTAAAACAATAACATCACCATCATCATCATCATCTTCTTCTTCTTCAAGTTCAGGGCTAACTGCGTCTTTTCCATCCACAGTTTCAGTGGATCTGCAATTGTAAAAAAAACCCAACACTACCCAATCGAGTTGCACAGACAACTACCACAGGTTCTTATGCCATTGTCTTTATTATTATTTTGCATACACTTTGTGCCTCGTTTATGAATTTCGCTTATAAATTAAGGGCATTCGAAGGGTTGTGTTGCAATTATGTATATATGTAGGTTTCTGGTTGAGTCGTGATCATTAGCAGGCAGAAACGGTTTATATGGCAATGTAGATGTTGCGGATATTTTGGATAATTGGAGATCTTATTGAAATATTAACGGTGATATTATTTGATTTTTCCATGATATATGTCTGTCCTATGTGTTAATATATTTGTCTGGAAGACCATTACTTGTTTGCTTGAGTCTATTATGAATGCAATTTTTTTTTTTTTTGTGAGAGGTATGAGACTGGACTGGGCACCTAGTGGGGCATTTGGCTTGTACTTCACAGTAACATGGTTTTGCATTTAAACATTTTCAAGGGAACATAAAATGAGCAGAAATGTAGATTTCTTTGTCAGGATATTGAAGTCCAGCTCCATATATTTTTAATTTTCGTGTCTTTATTTGTCATGTTGATCCATTCATTCTTATACTTACACAGATAAGCCTCTAGAACAAGAAGAATTACTGGAGATATGGTGTGATGGATATCTCCTGAATGTACAGACAGGGTCAAAGATCTGTATTCGAGGTAGCGATTAAGCACAGATGAAAGGAGGAAATAGTTATAGCTTTAGAGGGAAGCATGTTTCCCTAGCTCTTGTTGCGATTGTTCTTTTTTCTGCCTTAATGTGGACATGGGAGAGAAATCCAATAGCCACAACTTTAAGATCAGCTCAAGAATGGTACTACTTACCTTCAGGTTTGTATTTCAGCCAGGGATATACATAATGAAAGTAGTCATTTCTTTCTCACTCTCTCTTGTACCTTGGTGTAAACTGCGTTCTAGTTTGAAAACAATTTATGCTGTATTTCAACAAAATCTGAAATGGAAGCTTCACAAAGAGTAGATAAACTTTTTTTGTTAGGAACGGAAGATCTTACTAGGAGGAATGTTTTATGACTTTTACTTTTTTAGCATGTCCAGATATTGATATTAATACCTTAAATAGTCTTTGAATCTGATATGGCCATCTAGTTGTATGTGCTTCTTGAACTTAGACTAGTTCATAGGGATCTCAATTTCTATGCGATGAAACTTACAAAACAATTATTGCTTTTGACCTTATACAAAACAATTATTAAATGTTTCTTACTTCTTGTTGGTTTTGTTACCATTTGCTGTTGGTGTTTCGTAATTACCATTTCCTTAACCTGCTATTTGGTTTTAACTTTATACTGAGGATTTTTCCTATAAGCACATTTGCTTAGAATTTCCTGTGGAAGCCCCAATTGAATCAGTGGGAAATCCATCACTGGAAAAGGGTGCGACAAAATCCATAGCCCCCATCACAGAAAATAGAACAAAACTTCAACTTGACACTGAGGGTGTGGCAGCTGTCAATTCTATACCTGCAAAATCTCCAGAAACTAGATACAATCAACATGTCACGTCTTCCAGAAGTAAAGGTAGATTCTTTGGTTCTGTTCTTAAATTCATTACAATTAACTTCTTTCTTTCTGTGCTTCTTAATTAACATTTCCTTAACCTGCTATTCTGTGTTATTAACTGTACACTGAAGATTTTTTCTATAAACATGTTTGCATAGAATTTCCTGTGGAAGCCCCAACTGAATCAGTGGGAACTACATCACTGGAAAAGGGTGTGACAAAATCCATAGCCCCCATCACAGAAAATGGAACAAAACTTCAACTTGATACTGAGGGTGTAGCAGCTGTCAATTCTATACCTGCAGAATCTCCAAAAACTAAATACAATCAAATTGTCGCATCTTCCAGAAGTAAAGGTAGATTCTTTTTTGTTCTGTTTTTAAATTCATTACAATTAACTTTTGCTGCTGCTCTATGAGTGCATCTGTATTATCCTCATTGTTCTGCAATTACCTGCTGTTTTTTGGGCTACTATTATCTTACATAGTTGTTTCTGAGAATGTGCTCGGACAGCTCATTTGGCTAACAAGTACTGCTGCTACACTGTAGAGTCTATATCGACAAGATAATAGGAAGAATTTTGCTATTTAAGGGTGGTAGTTAATAAGACAAAGTGATGAGGACCACTCATCAACCCTTGACTCAATAAGCATGACAGTGGATTCTAGTTCCCCTTCTATCAAACTTTCTAGATAAGTTGCTTTTGTTGATTTCTTCTAAAAACCAATTAGCATTAAGTGAACTACCTAATATATAAGTTGCGCCCAAAGAATTGAGACGGACAATGTGGAACCTTCCAACCACCCCCTCCATAGATGCATGCTAGAATAGGCGAGCCTACCAAAATAGGCGATTTACCAAGATGGGCTATAGGCTCTTATACTATGTTAGATTTCATTTTAAAACCAATTGACATTAAGTGAAGTTTCTTAACAGATATATACGTTGCACCTTAAGAATTGAGACAAGCAATGTGGAACCTTCTAACATTATTTTCCTAGCATTTAGTACTTGCTCAATAGAATTCAAGTTGAAGATAATAACGACATAAGAAGGTTTCTCTTCAAACATTCCAATGTCTTAACATTTGTTATCCTTTTTGAATTGGTTGCTTACATTGAATTCAAGTTGCAGATAATAACACCTTCAGATGGTTTCTCTTTGAGCATTTTAATGCCTTAACTTGATATTCTCTTTGATATTGGATATTTCCTTGGGAATCATAACTTGTTTGACTAGAGCAATTAGTTTTTCTTCTTTCCCTTGCTCAAGTTTGGTAGTAAGTATTACTTCCACAATCATGATTATAATCTTTACATCTTCGTAAATGTTAACTGCTTTCCATGAGCTTTTGCAACCTCAGCCTAGAAGTTGAATTATGCTTTCAAATCTTTACTATGGAAGTATTTAGTTTGTGGAAGTATTTTGAGATGTTAAAGAAAAATACGGACTTTGGGGTCTTCTAATGCAGAATGCATAAGCATGTTGAAGGACTATTGTGTTATTGGGAAATGATATTCTTTCATAATTTAGATTTTCCTTTTGTTTAAAAATATCTTTCATTATTGTTAGAAATTTTATGTTTAATTTGTGTTTATCTAGGCTTTTATATTTGACACAGAATTTATACAGGATTTTATTATCTTTGGGATATGAATAGGTACCTTTAGATGTTTTATGTTATTTATAATTTTTTGCATAATCGATTATTGATATTTCTCAGAACATCTGCGACTTGAGTTGCTAGGACATTCTCTCCCTTCTGGAGATCTCTAGGTTTGTTTATTAGTGGATTATTGTACCAGAAGAGTGTTAATAGTTTTAGTCTGGGGAGTACCATCTTTGTAGCTACATATTTATTAGTACAATCTAGTCTTTCTAATTGGTTTGGCATGGACATTAACCATAGTACTCCAACCCCAGAAAATTAGCAAATTGTCTGCAGATTATATGTATTTTCCCTGGTTCAATATGCTTAAGCCTGGTATATTTATTCTTCAACGAAGTTTACTGGTTGGATTTTGTATTGATTGGAATTGTCCTTTACAGTATGTAATTATGCAAAGGGTAAGTGGGTTGCAGACAGCAGGAGACCCCTGTATTCTGGGTTCGGCTGTAAGCAGTGGTTGTCCTCCATGTGGTCATGTAGAATGACACAACGACCAGTTTTCTCATTTGAGGGATATCGCTGGCAGCCAGAAAATTGTGAAATGCAAGATTTTGACCGGACTGCATTCCTGAGAAAGTAGGTATAATCCTCTTTTTCTTTGATCTTGTTGTTAATAACACATACATCTTTCAACAAGATAATTATCTGGTTGGTTTGTTTATTCAATGGTTTCTGTCAAGGTGCTTAAAGTTTTCTGATTTTATGTCACACAAATAATCTTGCATTATTTTAGTTTGCATTTTGATTTCTATTCTATTGTTACTTTTTGTATTTTCTTAAATCAAATTTTCTAATCCGTTTGTCTTTAGTTTCTTCTGTTCTCCTTTTGGTTAAAAAATGTAACAGAAGTACTTGAATTTCAATTTAGATAGTAGTTAGTCAGTGGCGTTTAATACTAATGTTGAATGTAGGATGCAGGACAAAACAATTGCATTCATTGGGGATTCATTGGGCCGGCAACAATTTCAATCTTTGATGTGTATGGCCACTGGTGGAGAAGAGAGCCCAGAGGTTCAAAACGTGGGATGGGAATACGGCCTTGTAAAGCCACGTGGAGCTATTCGACCTGATGGCTGGGCTTACAGATTTCCCGAGACTAATACCACCATTTTATATTATTGGTCAGCTAGCTTAAGTGATCTGGTGCCCCTTAACATCTCAGACAAACAGAGCGATGTTGCCATGCATTTAGATCGCCCCCCAGCTTTCATGAGACGGTTCCTTCATCGCTTTGATGTTTTGGTTCTTAATACAGGACACCATTGGAACCGGGGGAAGCTTACGGCAAACAGGTGGGTCATGCATGTTAATGGAAAGCCAAATGAAGACAAAAAGATTGCAGAAATTGCAAATGCCAAAAACTTCACAATACACAGTATAGTCAGATGGCTGGATATGCAACTTGTCTCACATCCTCGGCTCAAAGCTTTCTTCAGGACTATATCACCTAGGCATTTCTTCAATGGGGATTGGAACACTGGTGGAAGCTGTGATAACACTATCCCATTAAGTAATGGGAGTGAGATAATGCAGGAAGGGTCTATTGATTCAACTATTGAAGGTGCACTAAAGGGTACAAAGATTAAGATACTGGATATAACTGCTCTTTCACAATTGAGGGATGAGGCTCACATGTCACGCTACACTGTTAGAGGAACACTTAATTCGAGTGACTGTTTGCATTGGTGCCTACCTGGAATTCCAGATACGTGGAATGAACTCCTTGTTGCTCAAATATAGGCTCTGTCACAGTTTAGTACATGTTTGGTAGCACACCAATTACATTCGGACATGAACAAGAAGAAGTAACTCAAGCTTGTTTCTTTGTCAATTTCCTCTTATTGACGTGGTTTTAAGGGGTAACGTGCATCTCCAACAGAAAATCAAACATGCACTGAGTCACCTCTCCTTGCTTACAAATGCATTGCGGAATGCATTAGTAAGATATTTAGTATATCAGATTGTTTCTATTTTTTACGGTCTAGGAAGACCAATTATTATTTTATGTTCCATGTATTTTTTTATTTATTGCTTTGTTGTTAAATAGGAGGTAGGGAGATTGTAGAGTTCCATTCCACGCTTTCATTTTCAATGAAAGAACAATTAGGTAAAACTTATGCATGTTTTGAACAAAGTCGAGGATGAACATAACCACACAAGGCATGAGCTAAATACCAAATACCATAGGCATGGCCAGAGTACATGGCCTTTATTGAACAATTTGAAATGATTTTGTAATTTGTATCGATGTATTTGTATTATAGCAATTGGTTCCCATAAGAACAGAATGAAAAAATAATTGTTGAGACGTGTAATAAATTGCATGCATGTATAAAACAAAAACATTTATTTTCTTTCCAGAGAAGTAGGTTTTTTTTTTTTTTTTTTAATCATGGGCTTATCTAACTGGCTACAAGCTAAACTATCACTGTTTGGTTCATTTGGAACATCAAAAATGATTTCGTTTAAAACTCAAAGAACCATTCAGTTCTTTAAGTCGTTCATACTAGCCATGCAAATCTCATTCTTTTTCGGTAATACCCATGCAAAGCTCATAGCTGATATAGTACTTGGCTGGATTGTGTGCAAATTATTATTTTCCTTATTTTCTACTGAACCAAAACTCACTTTTTATGTCAATAATTTAAAATAATGGATAATTATGCCATTTTATTTTTCAATTTTAATTAACATTTACACATACCACAATAATACTTTTCTCTCCTATATTTAGTCTTACATGTGTCTGCCCTTATTTTTAGAATTGCAAGTGCAACGATCGACCAAACTTATCCAATCCAAATAAACTATATTTCAGTTAATTGTGTTGAGTGTTTTTTTATTTTTATTTTTATTTTTATTTTTTATTATTATTTTTTTTATAGTATATTTGAGTTGGATATTAATTAAAAGGGATTTGCAACTTGATTAGCCGAATCGAACTCACCTAAATTTAATAATAATAATAATAATAATAAATATTAATTATCTAAAATACATAAGACATGACACATAAAAATAAAGGCATGTATATGATACATCCGTTAATATTTAAGTTAATAATCTAATTATTAAACAATTACAAAAAAAAACATCCATTTTGAACAACAAAGAGTGATTAATTAAGTTACAACAAGCCTTACATAGAGATTTATGATCAAAGAAGAATAATTTTATTTTGTTAATTTCTATTATGTAATTCAAATAGTTTTTTAATGACTTAGTGTTGTTTGTTTGAGACATTATTATTATTTTTTTTATTAGTGTGTTCTAAGACATGTATTTCGTCTTATATAATGTGTAATTATCATTTGTTATTATTATTTGAGAGTTAAAACATATATTTAAATTTGGAGTAATTATGTTTTTAAATTTTTTTAAATATATTAATATTTTAATTAATCAACCCGATCAACCAACCCAACCCGATTATAATTATAATTTCAAAAGTTATATCAATTTGAAAAAAAAAAGTCACATAATTACCATATCATACTAGTAGTCACATGACAAGTCACTTAAACGTTAAAGTAGACAAGATTAATTGGTTTCAATTTAGTCCCACTTTTATTTTTTGTTTCAATTTGGTCCCAAACTAATTAATTGGTTTCAATTTAGTCCCAAATTAATTAATTAGTTTCAATGTGTGACTTCCGTCCAAATTATTTAAACAGAGTTAACTTTTGGCTACGTGGATGCCACGTAGATGCATACGTGGCATCCACGTGGATGAGAATTTTTTTGAAAACACCTGGAACCAGAACGGCTCATTCTGAAATCGGAACAGGCCGTTCTGGTTGCAAAATTAAAACACCAACAGTGAAGAAGAACGGCCCGTTCTGAAACCAGAACGGGACGTTCGGGTTTCAGAACGGCCCGTTCCAAAACTGTGAATAAGATATTCTATGCTTAATTGTGTTTTTGATCGCTCAAGTATTATAATTATGCAATTTTGATCCCTAAGGTTTTAATTGAGTAATTTCAGTCCTTAAAAGATTATAGTTGTGTAATTTTAGTCTCACAATTTTTAATTTAACAATTTTAATCTCTTAAATATCATAATTGTGCAATTTTAGTCTTTCTCATTAAAAATTTAATAATTTTAAAATTTTAATATATATATATATATA